CATTTTCACATCAATATATTCGTTTTGTATTAAGAGTAAGTTCACGTGTTTAGTTTGTTTTAATTTCGTTATATAGCACGGTGAGACTTCATATTTCGATCCATATTTTTTTAGTATATATAAATTTACACTTATATTATTCAACTTTTCAAATTTAGGAATACTTTTTATTTTTACAGGGAAGCTTATACCATCAAAATTCAGTTCATTCTCATAGGGCTTGTACTTAATTACTCTGTTTGGATTTCTTGCAACTGGATGAAGGCATGAAAGTATAGCCCATTTAAAACATTCATTGTCTTCATTTTTTACATTAACACAGGCTCTTTTATTATCTATGCTTGACGGTAATGGTATATACGAGCATGGTTTAAGTGGATTATACTTATTTATATTAATAGTGAGACCGACAATAGTTTTTAACGACCAGCCTGAGTCTCTTTCTTGAAATTCTTCGATTTGTTTAAGTATAATATCTTTAACGTTATTTTGAAACCATCTATCAAGATCAGTAGTCTTATAAATGCAAACATTTTCTGTATTGAAATACTTGATTTGAATATCTTCTTCTTGATTTTTCTTTATGATAAATTGTGATGCCATTTCTGTATTTATTTTTAAGTTATTATGGATAGCAAGAAATTGAGGTATTTTAATTTGTAATAGTTGATTTGCGGCAACTAGAAATGTTTTTATATCTAAATGATGTTGATTAACTATACAGACTGTACTAATTCGATTTTCAAAGGCTGAATGAATTGGTCTCCAAACAACTCCATCTCCTAGAATTTCATCCTGAATAGCTGTTAATGGTTGTATACTTCCACCAACTTTTATAGTTTTACTTAAATTGACTTCAATAGAATTCAAATGACAAGCACAAGTTTGACACCTTTGTCGAATTGCTCTACTTAAATCAGATCGTTTCATAAATTCATTAATTGAAATTATAGCATTAACTGTTAGATTTCTCCATCTAATACAATCGTCTATATCTAAATCGTTCGAATGGTTATAAGCTTTCCATAAATTTTTAATTGTTTCTTCAAAATAGGCGATAGAAGTCATGTTGTTAGTTATCTAGTTTTATTGTCTTGTACAGTCACTTGTCTATAGTTGTATAAAGGATTATTATGATGAAAGGATGGAAAAGGTAGTGAACAGCTCTAAAATGAACTTGTTCTCAGTTGGTAATGAATATTGATTTGTTTAACAAATCAATAAGGATTCAACTAACTACTGAGGAACTACTTGCAAATGGCGTAAGGTAAGGCAAGCTTAGCTCGCAGGCTGTCTCGAGAGACTGCGCTCTTTTGCTAGGCCAAAGCTGCTTTTAAAGGTTAAGTGAGGGCGCTGTCAGCAAACTGAGAGCGCTGCCTAGAAAGTGTGGGCGCTGTAGGCAGTATATGGAAGGGTTAGCTCAAACGAAAGAGTGGGGGTGAACCGACTGTAGCACCATCTAACTTATTAATTTAGTATTAAAGGGTTTATATATAGATCTTCAGAATAAAAATATAGTCATTATTGCTTTGAGATACGATTCAGCTCACATATCATAGAGAATGATGGACTATATTTTAGATATTCAAGGCTTTCAGAGTCTCAATAATACTTTTATTTGTAAGGAGTTTGCCTATTTACCAGTATGTTCTAATACTTCACCTACAGTACTACTTTTTAAACCTCCATATCATTGGCTCAAACTGTCTATTGAATATCAAAGTGTTAATAAGTGGTTGGAATTACATCATCATGGTATTTATTTTAATTATCGTTAATTAAGATTGATTTTATTTGAAATATTTAATAAAATCAATTTTATAGGTATATTATGGAGAAATGGTATTTTACCATATAATTTTTTAAATTGTACTATACGTAGTCATTTACATAATTGTAGAAATATTTATGTGAAAGGATTACAAAAGAAGCAATGGCTTAAAAAAATTATTCCTGAAAAGTAGGTTCAAATAATATACAATAGTACAAAATTCTAAATTCGAATTTAATTAGTTTTTTTTTTTAATTACAGAAATATTTTAGATATCGAAACTGAAATGAGATGTCCGCGATTGGAAGATTTAAGTCTTAAATTTAAACCATCATGTATATATCATAGTCAGAATGGCGAGAATATAGTATGTGCTGCAGTAAATACACAAAAGATACACGATTGGATGATGGAAAGACAAAAACAAGCAAAATCAAAAGGGATCGACACAGTCGAAAGATTTACAGCTGACTATAATTCATATAAAAATTCAACTGAATATTTAAAAATAGCTATGTCAGACACTGAACATAAAGATTATAGACAAAGTGTACTCTATTCAATGTATAATTAAAAATAATAAATATTAAATAAATAATAAATGTGTGCTTATTTAAATAGTAAAATAATCATAACGATTGTAAGAAAGGGTGAATGGATGAGAATAAGGTTCTCTCCTAGCAGAGATGTTTAGGAGGAACATCTCAAGGAGGTGTCAGTCGAGCGACTGCATTCGTAGTCTCTAGCATTCTCACGAAAACAGTTCCCTTCGTGGAGAGAGCACGTGTTGACTATAGACAGCATACGCTCCCCTCCGCACATCATGGTCCACGCTTAGCTAGAGCGTAGGAGAGAGAGAGACAGAGAGAGAAAGAGAGAGAGCGCACGTTTACTACTACTATAGTAGCGCATCCCCATCAGGCCAGAACTATAGACAGCATGCGCTCCCCTCCTCCTCCGCACGCTCGGGCCCTGTACCAAATGTATGCGTGTGTAGCTAATATACACAATATGCATCCTCAAAGGTACATGTGACATTGGCTCTAGTGGTAGAACGCTAGCCTGCCAACCCAGAGGACTCCGGTTCGATTCTCCGGTCTGTCTTTTCATTTTTTTCAAAAAAAAAATCGTCGCTATTTTCTATATTCGTTTCATTCTCAATGTAGCAATTAAATTATTAATAATATATATATATTTATAACTTTAAAAAAACATTTAAATTTAATTAGACTAAAAGCACTAGGTATAGGGTCCCTAGGGACTAGGAGCCCTAGAAACCTTCCTCAAAAATTATAAACAATTATTTACATTAATAATAATAATAATTAACATAGAAGGGATAGAGGCCAGGGTATCAAAGGGTTAAACCAAGGGACCCCCCCACGAATATTGTTAATAATAATTGTTAACAATAATAATTATTATTAACATAGCCAGGGGGTCCAAAGGGTTAAGCCCGGTGGGGTCAAAGGGTTACAGACCCCCCGCAGGTGTGCTGGAACATACATTGCTATACTACTGACGAATTAGCAGAAAATGTTCAAAACCGCGTGGGACCAAATTCTCCATTGAATATATCTAATCAAAATAAGGCAACATTGATTGAAGGTAATAATTTACATGACGTTAAAAGTGATGAAATTTTAGACTGTGCTGCTCGTAGCAATAGTGAAAATGAAGATATACTAGTTAAATTAGATGAAGGAAAGGAGCATTTACTACCAGTAAAAGTAGATGAGTTAGGTACGTAAATAATTTTCAAAATTATTGTAAACAGCGGTCTTAAAATTCAATAAAATGAAATACAGTGCGAAATTGATGAATAATTTAATTTTTAATGAGAGTCTGCATAGCTACAAACTTTTTTTGAATTTTACGTAGATGAAAACTTAGATAAACCTATTTTAATAGCTTTAATTTTATTTTAGATGTAATAATTGTTCATAAAGATCCTGCGTTGTGGCCGTTACATTTGAATGAGACTGAACGTCGTAGTTATACCAATAAAGGATATAGGTTTTTTCAGAATAAAAATTCAGACTTCAAAAAATCAAAGAGAGAGTACAATCACCAAAATAGATATTTTTCTTCTAAAAATTTTCTGAAAATTCTAACGAATGGCGAGACTATTGAGAGAACATGGACAATGTATTCCGAATCGACAGGACACATTTTCTGTTATATCTGCAAGTTATTTGTTAATGAATCAAGTACTTTTAATATATTTGTGGATTCGGGCTTCTCAAATTGGAAAAAAAGTGATGAGTCTATCGCCAGTCATGAAAATAGCAAAGAGCATAGAAAATGCACGATCGATTTTCTTCAATACATGCAAAAAAAGGAGCATGTTGATAAAAGTATAATAAATGTAATGCAACGAGAAAGAGAATATTGGGCGAAAGTTCTGAGGAGAGTAGTAGCAGTGATACGTTTTCTTGGGGAAAGAGGTCTTGCTTTTCGTGGAATAGATGAACATTTTGATTCGCCACGTAATGGCAACTATTTAGGTGCTCTAGAACTTATCGCTGAGTTTGACCCTTTTTTGCGACAACATATCGATAACTATGGTAATAAAGGACAAGGGAGTGTTTCGTATTTATCGAAAACCGTTTGTGAAGAATTTATTATTTTGATGGGAAATGTTTTACTGGACCTTATAAAAAGTGAAATCAAAAATGCTAAATACTGGGGACTAATTGTAGATTCTACACCTGATGTATCGCATGTAGATCAACTAGCAATCATTTTTCGCTATTATTTGAACTCTCATGTATATGAAAGATTTTTTTGTTTTATTCCTATCCATAGCCACTCAGGTGAATCTTTGAAATCAGAGTTATTAAGTTTGCTTAAAAAGCATGTCATTCCAATAAATGACTGTAGAGCTCAGTCGTATGACAACGCTCGAAATATGTCGGGAGAATATGAAGGATTACAAGCACATATAAAAAGAAAGAATAAATTAGCATATTACATTCCATGTGTCGGACACTCGCTTAATCTAGTCGGGGAATGTAGCGCAAAAGAGTGTCTATGCGCTGTAACTTTTTTTTGTATACTTTAACGACTTTATAACTTTTTTTCGTGTTCTACTCATCGATGGGAAATTTTGATAGCACAAAACAAAGCTCATGTGCAAAGTTTATCTACCACTCGTTGGTCAAGGCGCAATGATGCAACCAGAGATTTAAAACACAATTATAAGGGCATTTATAGAGCATTGATTATTATGAGCGAAGATGAATCGCAAAAAGCCGATGTCCGTCAAGAAGCTCGTTCTTTAGCGAAAAAACTGACAGTATTTGAAAATGCTTTTATGATAGTGTTTTGGTATTCAATTTTAAGTAGATTCGATATCGTAAGCAAATATATTCAAAAAGTTGAATTAGACTTGTGTGCAGCGAACGATATGCTTGTATCTCTGATAGGATTTGTGCAAAACTTGCGGGATGATTTTTCAAAATTTGAAAAAGAAGCAGAAAACCTTGGTGATTTCGTAGTTAAAGAGTATGCAGACAAAATAAAGCGAAAGATTACTAAAAAACTACCTGATGGAACTACTGTCAATGAAGAATTAACAGGAGCTAATAAATTTAAAGTTGATACTTTTTACACGATAATTGACAAACTTACTGTAGAATTGAAAAAAAGAAGCGAAGCTTATTCTAATGTAGTAGGTATATTTGATTTTCTTATGAAACTTCATGTTATGGAAGACAATTTTTTAGAAAGTAAGACCAAACGCTTAGTGGAAATTTATGGATGTGATTTAATTGAGGATATTTTAATCGAAATCAAACAATTTGTACCGCTAGTAAAGATGCACATCGATTCTCTCTCTAACCAAGCTGACGCTGCAGGCACGTTAAATCCTTTAAAAATTTTGAACTGGATAGTGAAAGGTGATATGATTGATGTATTTCCAAATCTATATGTAGCGTATCGTATATACGTTACGATTCCTATTGCCAATTGCGAAGCAGAACGTTCCTTTTCCGCGTTAAAACGAGTGAAAGATGTTTTTCGCGCAAACATGTCAGACGACCGCTTGTCAGCACTGGCTAGGTTAAAAATTGAAAGCCAATTATTTAGAACCATTGATTTCAATGACCTGATTGAAAATTTTGTTGCTGAAAAGTGTAGAAAAAAAATCTTTTAAATAATAATGATTGTTTAAACAAAAAATGTATTAAACTATTCATTCGAATTTCCTACGGTTTTCGGTATCACCTGCGTTTTGTCGAATTTTCGAATTCCTTAAGTGGGCCCCGTCGTTTGTAGCCCCGGGCCCCATGAAAGTTAAATCCGGCTCTGATTACTTATAACATTGTACTATTATTTGAAGTCTATCATAACCCCCAATTGACTATAACCCACAGAGTATGAATTAATTTACTGAATTAATTCTTGAATTAACGCAAAGAATTAATATAAAAATAATTTTCTAAGAAAAGAAAATTATTTCTTAATTAATACATGAAATATTACAAAGAAATATTCTAAAATTCTATTAAAAATAATTCAGGTAATGATTCCTGTAAAAATAAACAAATTAATACATGAATTAATTTAGAAAGGATTTTGAAAGGAACCATGAATTAATTTACAACATAAAACTAAAATTATATCTTGAAATAATTTAAAACTATTTCAAAATTATTTCGTGATATGATTTTTGTAAAAATACATAAATTAAATCATTCATTAATGTTGAATTAATCCAAGAAATATTATAGGTTTTAATCTCGAAACTAACGCAACAAATGATTCTGAATTCATTTAAAATTAATTCTTAAATTATATGAAAATGCAAAATTTCGATTCACCCGAATTATTTCAGAAAATAATTCAAAATTATTTCTGAATTAATTCGTGATATGATTTTTGTACAAATATACACATTAATTCACGGATTAGTGTTGAATTAGTCCAAGAAAAATTATAAGTTTAAAGTTACAAATTAACGCAAGATATAATTATAAATTAATTATTTTGTTACGAGTGCATCTTTCGAATAGTTCTTATTCGAATATATATCCGCTGCAACATTAATTTGTATATGTTGTTTGTTTATGTTTGTGATAGAAAACACAGAATAGTTAGTTAACACTTGGTTATCTGTTTGTAAACACTTTTTAAAATTAATAAAGTAAAGTCTAAGTCTTTATGTTTAACGTAACAATACATTAATTCTTGCATTATATTAAAATGGAAAATTTTGATTTACCTGAATTATTTCAGAAATTAATATAAAATTATTTCTGAATTAATTCGTGATATGATTTTTGTAAAAATGCACTAATTAATTTACGAATTAACGTACCGATAATCAAAGAAATATTATAGGTTTTAATTTCGAAATTAACGGAAGGAATGATTCTGAATTAATTCTGAATTAATTTTTGAATTAAATGAAAATGCAAAATTTCGATTCACCCGAATTATTTCAGAAAATAATTCAAAATCATTTCTGAATTAATTCTTGATATGATTTTTGTAAAAATGCACTAATTAATTTATAAATTAACGTACCAATAATCCAAGAAATATTGTAGGTTTTAATCTCGTAAATAAGCTTTTGTACGCATTACTGAGCATATGAAACGTTCATGAAAGCACCTACCTTACCGGCATTTACAGAACTTGAAATATTGCAGAATCAAAGTTAGATTGAAAATAAAAACGCTTTTTTAGGGTGTAGATATATGTCCAAGAATTACTCAGTTCAAATTTCACACAATTCTATCGAGTGGTTCTTTCAAAATTTGGTCAAGCAGCACCAAATCTTAATTTCTTCGAGGTGTCATCAGGGGCGTTTCATATCTCCTTAAGGGAATTTTAATTCAGGATTATTTAAACCCCTAGCATTGCGTTAAGCACTTCCATTTTTTATTATTATTCGTTAAAATTGAAAGAAATTCAATGTGAAAAATCGATGAGAAATCTGCTTTATGTAATATTTATAATGTATATCTAATATATATCCATTGTGACGGTAAACGTCAAATTAGCACTAATAATATAACCTAATTGCTGCCTGCGGGGGCAGCACCTACCGGGGAGACGAAAAACGTAACGAAAGAATTCGGCACGCGAGCAGACGGAACGCGCGTGATTGAAATTGAACCAGTGAAGCTTTGACCATCAACGAGTTCGCCGGTGTGTATGAGATCAGCTGTCATTACCCGAGTTACCGGAGCAGAATTCCGTTCGCAGAGCACCAAGACCTGAGTTCCAGAGATCGTCGCAGCCGAGGTGCCGTGCAGCTCACAAGGGCTAAGGCTTGAGCCAGCAGACAAAGGCGCCGTGCGCGGTGATAACGCTAGTGCGTGCGTGAGGTTTCGCCATCGAGGGCGAAGCCACGTACTTTTAAGTTCGCGACTCGCGACACAAACAAACAATAGACCTTTTCCTTATTGGTGTCATCTTCGAGCGTCCGCAAAATAAAGGTAAGCTGGCCAGCTTAATCTCGCGATCGTGGTTGCATGTATAACAATTAATTTCTCGTGTTCGAAGCGTGCATGCAATAGCTCTGTTAACAAAGAGCAGCGAGCGTCCCGTCACTGTGTGTCCTCGATGAGCGAGCGCCGATGTCAACATAAACACGCGGGCCGATCCAGTGTAATATTTGATAGACAATAAAAGATTCTGTTCGTGTTATTAACAAGTGCTTTCGACTCGCTTATTCCATATTGCTTCCACTCATTTTCGTAGATTAGTAGATCTATTGGTTGACTCACGCCTGTTTCCCCATGCTCTCCGGATTATGTATTGAGCATAGATGATTACATTCGCCCTTCAATAAACTCGCGCGAATAAAAATAATTAAACGGTAAGAAACCCCGTTACACCATATACTAGATAATATTAAAGTAAACATTAAATAAAATACTGTACGTTTATCAATTATTTTATTTCGTGTTCTTCCATAATTATATAAAATATAGCACTTTTAATAATTTTTAAAATTTTACTTATATATTCAGTAAATAATTTATTTATAGTATATCTGGTTGTGTTATATAATTTTAAATATTTTCTATAATAATTCTAAAAGTAATTAGATAGTATTTTATAAAATAATTCTTGTGAAATGGATATAATCTTTTAAAATTATTTCAGTGAATCAATTCTGTATTAATTTTACGCCAGCTTTTTATTACTTAAGTATCATTTTGAAAATTAATTTTGAAACAATTCAAAACATTCTTACTGTAATGATTTCAAAATTATTATAATAATATTTCATAAAATAATTCTTCTAAAATGCATGTAATATTTGAAAATTATTTCAGTGAATCAATTCTGTATTTATTTTATGTCCGCTTTTTATTTCTTCAATATCATTTTAAACATTAATTTTGAAACAATTCAAAATATTCTAACTGTAATAATTTCAAAACTATTACGTTAATATTTCATAAAATAATTCTTCTAAAATGCATGTAATATTTGAAAATTATTTTAGTCAATTAATGTAGTAATAATATTCGTTATATTTCTGAAGGAAAAAAAAACGGACATAAAATTAATACAGAATTAATTCATTGAATTAATTCTAAAATAATTATATTATTTCATGAATTAATTTTGAATTATTTTAGAATTAATTCATGCTGTGTGGGAATATAGTTATTATTTATTCATTAATATATTTCTTTCTCTATGATCCAACAATCCACAATTACGATTGTTCTAAACGATAAATTTTGAAAAAGTAATATAATTTAATTTGAATTTCAGAAATATCTCGACGTATTTATAAAACATTAAATTAAATTAAGCGTATTTAAAAGTTTCTTATTGTAGCAGAAAACTAGCTTTTACTAACTAATTTTATCTTTTTTAAAATAACTATGGAGCTTACTTTGTCGTATGTACAAAATGCAATTAAAAAATGAAATTAGAATTTATTAAATTAGAAATATATATTAGAGGTGACTATTATCTAATGAAGTGTTGAAAGTACAAAATTGCATCAATACTTTTGCAATATTAAAATAACTATAGCTTACTTTGAAATGAATGAAATCTACAACAAAACACTTTTAACAAAGTAAAAAGTTGCATGAATGGTTTCTTTTGAAATACATTATTTTATTATTTTATTTCATTTATTATTATCTTATTATCTTATTTCAATACCATAAAAATGTCTACCAAGTAATAAATTACTTTAATGATTTAGCTCTATTAATTTTTTGTACTTTAACATTATTTTTTTCAGTTTTACTTCATGTTTTAATAACTGGTTGTATAGAATTTGTTTCAATATTGTTTTTAAAATTTTGAAAGTAGTGAAATCTATCTAAAAACGGCCCGAATGCTGTAAATTACTTTTAGAGGCTTTACATAACTTATTAAATAGTAAGTTTACTTTATAGCATAGCAATTATTACATTAAAATAAATAATCTACTGTTCACAATCATTATACAAAATTGAATATAGTATCACAATTATGACAATTACAATTTTGAGATACGTATAGAGTTTCGGAAGTAACGATAGACTTCAAATAATAGTACAATATTATAAGTAAAAAGTAATTTATACGTTAAATGCTAGTCATGAAAAATTTATATAAATTTTAGATAACTTTCATTGTTGCCGGGCCTCTTCGCCAACAGCATCAGGTTCGATTCAGGAATATAAATTTAAGTTTCAAAGAATACATATTATTCGCAGTTGCTACCAAAGACATAAAATAATTTATTGAGAAAATAAGATAATAATTCATTACCCAACCCCAAAAAAACTTCAAGAAAGCTAAAAATTAACAGCAAGTGAGAAGAATAAACATCGAAATAAAGCTCAATATTTTAGACATATTATTCTATAAGTTTTTTTGATCCTACTCTATACTAAAACTTATAACGTGTTTAGCACGCTATGCGTGGGCTCTAACCGTCTTCTCAATTTCTTTACTTTATTGTTCATTATTATTTCGAAAAAGATTTCATAAACGAAAAATCTAACTTGAACTTTCCTTATAAGATAAATGTATTAGATTAAAAATGTTTTGAAATATCCTAAATAAGTAATATAATAACACAGCATTTTAAGAATATTTATTCCAGCAAAACGAGTTGAAGGTAATTTTTATATTTTATATAAAAAAATTATTTTATATAATATGTAACAGGCTGTCATTTAGTCG